CCCGCGCCTCCCGGGGCTCCGGGCAGTGGGGGGTGGGAAGTAGAGCCAGCCTCCACCCCGCCGGCTCTCCCCGCTAGGTGTTCCTCTCCAGCCCGCATCCAGCCGGACCCGCGGTCCCCTCCCACGCGCGCGCTTTCGGGTCTCTTCTCGGCCTGCGCCTCCTGTTGGAGGCCCTCCAGTAAGCCGAGATGACCTTGAAAGGCTCTTCTAATTAAACTGACTTCCTCTTCTTTTTCTTTCTCCTGTGCCGCCTTCTCCTCTTCCTCACTCAGATCGCCCTTTTCTCTCCAAAAGTCCTGCCTAGGAATTGGCGGCTTTCTCGTGATTTGCCTCCCTAGAACTTCGGTCTCAGCCCTTTGGGGCAACACCAGAGTCTGGAAAGACTGCGCCCTGGGCAGTCCACAGAGGCGCCGACACGCGGCCTGAGTCCTTAAGGGGCCTCGGAAGCCCCTGGAGCTAGATGGTGTGAGGGCAGCGGACATAGATGGACATCTCCCCGGAGGGTGTCACCAGGACAGGCAAGGCGAAGGGAGACAGGAAGAGTGTGTCGTTTTCTTCCCTGTGATCTTTGTCTCCCCAGAACTCCTAACCTGTCCATCTCTCTGCTTGCTGGGAGCTTGAGTCTGGCGCTGGTACAGAAAGTAACCTCTAGGTGCCTGAAAGCTCGCTTTCATTAAAGATTGCTAGGGGCAGGGCGAGGATTCTGTCCAGTGATCTCTCTACTTCCCAGATTTCTCCTGAACACAACATAGAAGTGGGCAAAGCAAAATCCAAGTTTGCGTTACTCTATATAGGCAGTTTAAGCTAATGGTGTTAGATTTAAAGTCTAGAACTCAATCTATTTGAAAGTCAAGGGCTCGTGTATATTTCCTAAATACATCACATACGTATGTACGCATGTGTATTGTGTACACATGCATGTAAACATGCATATATTGTATATATAGGTGTGCATATGCACACACGTGTATACATGTGTATATATTCACATGCACATTTTCTTTACATGCACATGCATGTATACCTATACATATACCCTCTATGTATATAGATGTATATATGTATGCATACATTCTACGTATATACACTTGTGTGCATATATCCTGTGGGTACACATACTGTATATGTATGAAAATATTGTGTATATACATGTACATATACATATACATCTATGTAATTTCTTCTAATGATGGCTTTGATTTGAATTTTCTTTAAGGATCATTTCCATAAGTGAAATAAAAAAACAGCATCTTTACTTATCTGCATTCTAAGTGGATCTTCCCTTTGGCATTTTGAGCACAGAGGCACAATGAAGTTCCTGAATTGCCAAGAGAGCAAATTTGGTCAATCAACAGTGAAGTAATCCTTCGATAGTGGTCTGGGTTCTGGCACTTCTGGTAAATAGTGTAGTCTGTCTTCAAACCTTCAAGCGCCTGGCCTTTGAGAAAGTTCTGGGTTTGAAGGAGGTTCCTGCCAAACAGGAGGGGCGGGGGGAGAAACAGAAAAGGGAGAAGACGTGTTTTTCAAACTGATTTTGGACTGTTTTCTCTATTTTTAAAGAGTTACTGGGGAGAAGGGTCAGAAGGAGCAAGAAATTGAGGCTCCCAAAAGCCCTTACCAGCGGGAGTTGATATGACGCTCTTCAATCTTTGTGCCCGGATGCAAGGCACTGAGAGGTCTGGCACGCAGTGCCCCGCCACTGCCTAATTGGCACTGGCAGCAGCTGCCAATCATCTATCACTTGGCAACAAGTTATACCTGCAGCTTCAGTTAATACTTATGCACATGGGCACCCATAGTGTGTGCCCGCTTGGGCCCAGGGAACATCTCCTCACTAAAAGGGACTTATGGAGAGCGCCCCAAATGCTAAGCACTAGTGAGATCTCATAAAAGGCTAAACCATTTACTTCCCATTTAGGTGCTCTGGAAAACAAGGGTAATGTCATATTTGGAAACAATTTTCAGGACTATGTAGAAAGAAACTAGACCATTTCAAAGTCAGCGATCCAAGTTCCCCAAAACATAAAGCATTCCTGCAATGCACACTGGAGTGCAGGGTGGTTATACGATAAATTGCTCCATTGATATGGAAAATAATGTGCCAAGCCTGATTCATACAAAGTATTTTCAGGGGGTCTTAGGCTATTTGGTTTAAAATCTAAATTGAAAAGCAAAGGAAAGAAATCTTTCAATGGCTAAGTGGATAATATAGTTTATAATTTGTAAACCATTTCCTTTATTTCAGTCTTGCTGACTTTCCATAACACACTGGATCTCACTGCACACCCATCGCCTCTTAAATTATCAAAGGAAAAACGGACCTATAGTATTCCTAAACAATATTCTTGTTCTTTTTTTTTGTTCATTCACAATGTAACTGATATTTGGAGGTAGTACATGAAACAAATAAAAAGATTTAACAAACTCGATGGGTGAAATAAGAAGCTGGTTGAAAACCAAGTTTATAACCTAGACATTTAGTGAAAGATAAATATGAAATGACGTTTCCTTTCTAATATAATTATATATTTTTCAATGAGTTCACTATTAAATGCTGAATAGCCTGAAATGAAATCAGTTTAATCTGCAGAGACCAGTTTACTGTTGCATTGCATACTATAGCAACCTTGCAATAATAATAAAGAGCTACAGTAATAATCATAGTAATTGACAGGAAAGAAGGCATTATCCCTGAACTGTGGACAAGCAATAGGGTCAGGAAATTCACAACCTCAGATTTCTTCTTTAATTGGGTACAGAGAGTTGGAGAGGGAGGGAGTGGAGGTGTCACGTATTCACTGCCCAACATACTTAAACAGCCTTATTACTACCCTAATGATCATGATCGTATGTATGTTTACTTCTATTTCAAGAAGGTCAGTCTCCCGCTTCGGTTAGGCTCCACTTCACCCACCAGCCATCTCCCAAGCACCTCCCACTCTGGTGCTCATGGAGACGCCCCTGTGACTCCCTGAGGGCGCAGGAGCGGTGCGTGGTCTCTCCACGGGTTTTCCGTCAGAAGTCTTTGGGCCACTTTCCTATCATCCATCACCCGGATGGAAAAGGTACCCCGAGTGCAATGGTGTTATGTTAGATACTGTGAGGTTTATGAGTTATAACCGCAGGTGGATGTTTCAGCCACTCCCGGAACCGAGACTTTCATTTGCATAATGCAAGAAAGCAGTATCTGTCTCTTGGTCCCCAAACCCCACTTTTCCGACTCGCTTCCTGGAGGCCTTGCTCCGTTCACGCAGTTTTGGAAGTTCTTAAGCAGTTTGTGGAAGATGCTCTCCAGAAGATCGTGGGCTACCTCGTTCTTGTGCGATTTTAAACTTTTTCAACTGTTGTTAAGTAACTAGATTCCAGATAGTTCTTGTTTTCGAGCTTACTAGAAATTCCATTTTAGGAGGAAGAAGCGCCAAGCTGAGGAGAGTGTGTGACTGAAACAGCCAGGCTTATTAAAAGAGATCCTTAAAAAAAAAAAAAAAGTTCAGGGCTAATGCTAAAAAGAAGCTGTGCAGCCAAGCCCGACACAAATGCTCCCCCGTTACGGGGATTATTGGGGCCTGGATTGTGAAGGCCTTGCCTACGAGAGGGGGCACTGGAGAACTTCAGAACACGCTGCAGTGGAGCACAAATCCCTGGGAGGGCGAAGGGGACTGAGCTGCCCAAGCCTCGCAGGAGATCCCGAGGGGGGCTTTACAGTGGCGGCCAGTATTTCCCGCGCCTGAGGTCGCGCCCCTCCTTTCCAGCCCTGGGGCGGCGATGAGTGCGGGTTCCTGCCACAGTTGCCAACTTTGCCCCTTCCCAGCTGGCGCAGAGTTGGCGGGCGGTGGGCAGAGGAGGAGCTGGGTCAAGGATGCGCTCGGTTAAACGTGGCCGGGGTCTGTATTC